AAATTTGGCTCTTGGCATATGCATGATTGTGTGCACACAAGTGTTGGTGTGCATTAAAAAGATTTATGATATTCATTACGTATCTTGGTGCAGGCAGGGAGCCTGGCAATAAAACCACCTGGCATTCTGTACCATCAGATCATCATCTTCCTCTCTTTTTCCCTTTCTCTCTCTGACACACACACACACACACACACACACACACACACACACACACACACACACACACACACACACAGGGCACTTTATTGCTGCACACAGTGCCAAATATGCATAGTGAGAGTCCTGGGACTGACCCAGGTTTTACTGCTGTGATTGCAGAGAGAGGACAGATATGAGGGAGGGGGTGTGTGGATACAGATGCCTCAGCATCATTAACATCATCATCTTCATCATCATCAATATTGCATGAATAAAACACATGAGTAAAACAACAAATCTCATACATGATGACAAGTCACAAAAGGCTTTTTTGGGACTTACGATTATCATGACATCCTGTCTCATTTACAGCCACCTCTGTCAGGAAATGAAAGAGGTGGCTGTAATGGCTGTAATAAACGCTATGGAACAAAATATTAAGTTTGCCACACATGATATATAAATAGAATATTCCAGCCACAGCCCAGATCTCTTCAAGAACAACAGGTTAAATAAAATAAACAAATATATAATACAAATATTCTACAAGTCGTCAAATTCTCATGTCATGCTGCAAAAAGAAACATGAAATATTATCGCTGTATTTGCATCTTTATATGAGGGTGGTGACAGAAGTGGGCAGATATTATCAGTAAAAGAATTCAAACAAACGGGTGTGAATCTGCATATCAACAATTTTATACAGATTTTATTGACAGTAGAAACTGTTACTGTAGATAATTTCCATCATCTGAAAAATATCTTTATATATTTTCCAGCATTAAAACGTTGAGCCCATGTTACCCACTCAAAGTTTTGAGTTTGCCAGTGAACTAAGAAAAAAAACTACAAAAGCCCACTCTGTAACTTAAACAAAAGCCAAAACAACAAAAGGAATAGGTTTTGCTGGGAAAACCTTCAGTTAATCTCTTTGTATAAACACACACACAAACACACTCGCATGTAAAACACAGTTTTCCCTCAGGGGCGCTGCGGAAAGTGAATGTTTGGGCCATAAGACAGGGGTGGAGAGCACATCTGAAAGTGCACTCCCATTCATCCCACA